AATGGTGGCGAAGGAGGGCTACATGGAGGGGTACATGGTCGCGAAGGAGCACAGAAAGAAAAGGAGTGGAATGAAGAGGATGACAATCGTGGTGCAATCTGTGCAGAGTCTTGTCAGGCTCTGAGTGTATTGGATCGGGAGGGCGTTTGTGACCGACTTTCTGCTACTAGTAGCGCTAGTACTAGTGTTAGTACTAGTGCTTGTACTTGTACTGGAATCAGCACGAGGACTAGTACCACAAGTGCTAGTTCGACACCAACAACAACTACTGCTATTGCTGCTACCTCCTACTACCATTGCTGGTGCTACTGCTACTGCTGCTGCTACTGCTGCCACTGTTGGTACTGCTACTACTACTACTACTCCTGCTGCTGCTGCTGCTGCTGCTACTACTACTACTGCTGCTACTGCTCCTCCTGCTGCTGCTGCTGCTGCTGCTGCTGCTATTACTTCTACTGCCGCTGCTGCAGTTCCTGACAAAGCGACTCTGCTCTGAAACATTACGTATCATCATCAGCACTGCGCCGGCATCACTCTACTGTGTGTCATCTTCGTTGTCTTCTCCTTCATACACTCGCGAATGCACGTCACAGCACTTAGCCGTGAGAGTCGAAAAAGATGCTCCTTCAATGCTCCCATGGTGAGCTGAGTGAGGTGCAGAGCGGTTCGTCACCAACATCACAGGGGAGATGAACATCCCCCGCGCGAGGACGCCTCATGAAGCAAAGATGCTGACCAAGCAAGCCGAGCAAGAAGCTGCGCAACAGGAAGGGATCTTGCTATTGAGCTGTGGTGTGCTTTGCTATCGTCGGTGACTTCTTCTGCAACCTGTAAAATGCCAGGCGCAAGCGAAGGAAGAAATCGCTAAAGAGCAAGAAGAGATCTCGAAAGAAATGGAGAAGCATGGTGACGAAATCGCTGCAGAGACTCCAGCCTAGAGCTGGCTCAGCTCCGTGTTTCACCTCAGACATTGGCTCATGGTGAAAAAGTTCGGGGTTGCACTGTCCTGTGCTCTAAGCTTGACGTGCCACCTTCTTCCGCAAGCTCCAGCATGGGGCTTAGGCTTAAAGGATTTAGGGTTTAGTGAGAGTTTTGGAGGGTTTCAGAGCTCACAATTTTTGAGTCAAGGGTAAGCAGGGCAATCCCAGCTATCAACTTGAGCTCGTGATCGCAGCGATGGCTTGAAGCATGGCTGCCGGTGCCCGCGAGGCGTGCAAAGCGATACCGTTTCGGCCTCAGAGCAGGATTACAGGTAATCGGGGCGATGACCGTAATTCGTAATCGCATTCCTACTTATTCCCTAGGGTTCCTTGTTATGGTGCTAGTCTAATCTTCCACAAAACATTCTCCTATTTTTGGGACCCTGTATATTATTCGGCTTCAGTGGTTTACAGGGTTTAGGGAGTGACTCTGACTTTCGCCGCAGGCCGCCCCGTGACAACACCTCAAGTCTTTTTGCAGTGCTTGCTGAGGCTCCTCTTGGAACAAGTCCATTTGTCAGACCAGGAGGCAGAGCATGATGTAGACAGTTTGCAGAGACTTGCAAGTTTGTGGGTTGAGTGGCCCGATTGACTGATCCCAGTAATGCGTGCAGAAAGTGGCACATGTGCCAATGCATGTGGGGAAGAAGCCACGTCTCTTGAAATTGACAGGAGCTCCTGCGTTGGTGGCCCAGATCCATGTCGTGGGAAGCGTGCAAAAGTGTGTGCTGCATGTCATGTGCTTGGGTTTGTGTCCGTCACTCTTCACATATGTGCATATCGACAGATAGGTAGGTAGTTGAATGAAGTGATGGACAGAGAAAGATAAACAGAGAAGTACGTGTGTGCATGCGAACAGGGGAATACGCCCACACTCACACGCACGCACACGCACACGCTCGCACGCACATGCACACGCACACGCGCACAGGCACGCGCACACGCGCACGCGCGCGCACGCACACAGACACAGACACAGACACAGACACAGACACAGACACAGACACAGACACAGACACAGACACAGACACAGACACAGACACAGACACAGACACAGACACTGACACTGA